AGGAGGAGGAGGAGAAGGAGGAGGAGAAGGAGGAGGAGGAGGAGGAGAAGGAGAAGGAAGGAGAAGGAGAAGGAGAAGGAAGGAGAAGGAGAAGGAGAAGGAGAAGGAGGAGAAGGAGAAGGAGAAGGAGAAGGAGAAGGAGAAGGAGAAGGAGAAGGAGAAGGAGAAGGAGAAGGAGAAGAAGGAGGAGAGAGGGCCAAAAGCCCAAATACTTCAGAAATAAATGTATTTTGGGGTGCCAGCCAAAAAGCTCAGTGGATTAAAGCACCTCCAAGCAAGCACAGAGGCCTGGAGTTCCTCCCCAGGCCTGCTGCTCTGGCCTGACCCCTGGGCCCACTGAGAAAATTGAGACTGGACTTGGTGGCATGGGCCATTATCCCAGCTTTTGGGAGGCTGTAAACAGGCAGATCCCTAGAAGTCCAATCTAGTAGTGAGACCCTGAACACCCTGTAGACCCTTCCCTAAAAATATAAATAAATAAATAAATAAATAAATAAATAAATAAATAAATGTATTTGGGAACATTATTTGCTTCCCTGTCTGAAAAAAACCTTAGTTTAAATATTTAACTGTTGGTTTTCTAACTTGTATTCTGGGAGATTTAGAAATTTGTAAATCAATTACAGATAACACTGATAACTCTGCTCTCCATAAATAAACACATATGTATCTTATATTGCGCATTTCCTGGAACTAAGAAAATTTATATTGCACTTTTCCTGGAACTAAGAAAATACACATAAGAATATAGAAAATGATTTTTGGTTATAGATTTGTGAAATGATTTGAGAAAAAAAATCTTAAATTTCATAATATTTAAAATGAGTTTATTAATTTGTATTGCACTTGATAATTATGCTGTCAATTAAAATGTCTCTGAAAGAACATACTCAATTTTCTACTTTCGAAAGTATTATTTGAATGAAATTTGCATAATTTTTCTGTAGAAAACTTTGCCTTCCCTACTTAATGGAAAAACATGAAAACCATGTCACGTTTGTACAGCACAAGTGATCTAAAATGAGATGTTTACTGTATAGGTCGGACATGGACATTTCCTTTTGTATGCATGATTTGCATTTAATTTTTACTTCTTTGTAAATCAATATGACACTGTGAATCTGATTCTTTCTTCTTGTGCAGATCTTTGAACAAGCAAGTATAAAAGCACTGAGGAGAAAATCCATTTTGCTAACTGGTTATCTGGAACACCTGATCAAGCTGTACTGTCACAGAAGAGAAGCAGAAAGGAGGGGGCCAACTGTGACCATCATCACGCCATCCCGCATTGAGGAGAGGGGCTGCCAGCTAACACTGGCATTTTCTAGACCCAAAAAAGATGTTTTTGAAGAACTAGAAAAAAGAGGAGTGGTTGTAAGTGTCTTGCCCACATTGCTGTTCACTTTTTTCTGTGTGCTACAAGTGGAGGATAAAGTTCGGGTCTTTTAGTTTATTCACTGTTGTATATCATTTCATATTAATAAATCAGTTGAGATAGATTATTGATGAAGCATTTACCATGTACAAATTGAAGATCTGTCTGTCAGTTATGACAAGTACAAATTTTGGTTACAAGAAATAATTTTTTTTTAGATCTTACTAAATACTTTTCATAACTTAGGGCAGAAATAAATTACCTCAGTATAATAGATTAAAACATATTTTTCATCAGCTCACCAGTTTTGAATCATAAAAAGCTCCAGTATATATTTATTTCCTATACAGAGCAAAGGAACATAACTTACTAAAAGAAAAAATCAGGCTTCTTATTTGTTTGATTGTCCTAGATTATTCCCCCCTCTTGTCATTTCAGTCCAGTAGATAGACAAATTGCTCCAGAATGGTGTCACTACAAGTGATAATGTTTTGTTTCTTTTTAAAAAAAATAAATTTATTGAGAAAAATAGCAATGAGACAGTTTCAAAACCAATTAGTAGGACAATTTCAATAATTAATACATTGCATATTGTTTTCTTCTTAGTGGTTATCCATAGTACAAGATGTAGACATGATATCCTGTCCAAACACTATTAGTACTAATCTTACTATTCATTGAATTAAGAGAAAGTAGTTGTATATCCATTCTAACTATTTTGAATATTCAGATACAAAGTGGTCCTTCCCCTCTCTCTGTCTCTCTCTCTGTCTCTCTCTCTGTCTCTCTCTGTCTCTCTCTGTCTC